AGTTTAGGTGATTGAATCCTTATTACAAGTGATATTTATCCTTCGGGATAAGTGTTTTACTTGTAGTATCGTATTCACTCGTCTAAACTATTTAAAATGTGGGACCCGTTTGGTTTCACCTATTTTAAATTAAAATGTTGCTTTGAAAAATAAAAAAAAGGGCTGTATTCATATTTCGATTATTTTTAAAATCACAAAAATTATTACCTTTTTCAAATCATAAAGTTATTTCAAGTTATAAAGTTAAATTAAATAAAAGATTTTTTAAAAGATGTATAAAAATAAAACGGCCGACAGTTGCTGAGATGAGAATGCATAGGTGGATGATCGGCTTGACACTTGGAGACAAAATGCGAAATGAATTTATCCGTGCCAGGTTTGGTGTAGCTCCAGTGACGAACATAATTAAAGAGGTTCATCTTAGATGGTTTGATCACATTAAACGTCGACCATCTGATGATCCGGTTAGAGAGTAGATGTTTTATATTCAACTTATGCTAGGACAGGTAGAGGTAAACCAAAAAAGGCTTGGGCATGTTGTATAAAAAATGATCTTAATTTATTAAAATTAAATGAAAATATGACAGTCAATAGGATGCAATGGAAAAAAAAAGATTCACACAGCTGAGCCCACTTATTAGGAAGAAAGGCTTGTTGTTGTTGTTGTTGTTATTATTATTTCTCTATGCTTATATCCTATTTAGCCTTTTGTTATTGAGGGACTTCATCTCATCAGGCAATAGTGTGTGGCATTTTTGCTTTAGCAGTCTTCCATACATACAAAGGCTACATTTTATGTGAGTGAATGATTAATAAAAAGAGTTATCAAAACAAACTATTCAACTTCTTAATGTGGCTAGCAAGCTCTCCCTCTCTCATGATTAGTTCAATGTCTTGCTCTCCATCCTCCTCTTAAATGGTGCCAAAAGTTCCCATCTCCTGCGCCTCATGTTCCTCTTCGTCACTCCTCTGGATGTGCAAACCAAATGAAAATCCTTTTCATTTCATAAAACAATGATAAAAATAGCTTAGGAGTAAGAATTTTCAAAGCTTTTATAGCATAATGGAGAAAATAATAACAATGAACAGATAATGGCATCATCATAACAGCAGGCAATGTCCAATGCAATTGCTAAATAACTTGCAATTTAAGGAAATGAAAAGTAAAATTATACCATTGCAAATGAATCGAGATCAACAGGATTAAAAATCTTCAACGATGTGAGAACAGCCATTCTAAATCCTCTAATAGACTCAGATGAGCCAGCAGCAGTCTCAGGAGTAGTATACTTGTTAAGGAGAAGTTCTAGTTGGCCGTTCTCTACCAGGATGTTGAGAATGAAATTCAAGGCATGGAAATTACTCACTCCCGTTACCAACCGAGCCAAACAAGAGAAATCTCCCTCTGAAACATAAGATTCTACCCTATTTGCAGCAAGGGTGACGAGAACATCCACACCATCTAAACAGGCAGAAGACTTGTAAAAATGATGCGAAAGTATGAGAAGCTCAACCTGAGAAAGCATTCACATTTGTCACAAGAAAATTATATATCGTCGCAACCTACAACTGAACATTTAAAACGTAAATATATATATCCATTTGTGTTTTACATGGTGCTGTTACAGTAAAGTATGCCACATAGTTAACTTCAATCAGATAACAAAGTATTCTAATGATTAATAACAATTCAAAACGTTGCAATAGTACAACCTTCTCTAACAACCATGAAAAATCTTTGAGTAATGATGAAATTGAAACCAAAGAATTATATATGATCAACAAAACAGCGTTCAGATTAACTAGACATTATGAAAAAACCTTGGGAGATTTTTGGGATCATTTTTTATTTTCTATTCATATAATTTTTAATTTTATTTTTATAAACACCTTTATTTGGTTTATTTCTTTCTATTTTTGATATTTTATTTTTTAAAAGAAAACAATTTATTTTTAACAAAATAGTTGCAATAACTTTTAGGTGTCAAATTTTTCTACAAACTATCATCGTTGGTTGTTACTAATCATCAGCAACCCCCTTTGTTATATGAGACCATCAACGGAAGACATCTCAGCAGCTGGTGAACACCGCTAACAAACACCAATCCTGCCACTATCAAACCTCACTAGCTGCCACTGCTGCCCAACCGACAAACATCATCACCACCGCATAAATAGCATAATATGAGGGGCTTTACATACAAACATAGAATTCTGATATATTTAGATATCTAACAGTATATTTTCTTATATAACAATCAAATTTTATTATCACCTAAAAAATAGAAAACATTATTAGATCAAGGAATGCCAATGATTTCACAGCACCTAGATAAGAGCTATAAATGAAGAGAGAAATATAGAATAAATCTCTCTAAGAATGTAAATGAAATAAGGAGAGTCTCATATAACTCCTACACAAGAGGCAAAAAGAGAAAAACATCCCTTAACCCCGTCGATAGCCTCCTATTTAACATAATACAAAATGAAAATTTTATGATGTATCAAAGAGATTGTAGAGTTATATCTAATAGATGAGGTTCCCACCATTACGGAGTTTATAAAAGGATTGATATATGCAATCTTACCCTTCTAGACAGATTATTTCCATTAATTGAAATGATGGTCTCTAGATCACAACGTAAGCAACCTAACCATTGCACAAAGACAGTTAAATTACCATAATGATAAGCAACAAATGAGAGTGGACATTGAGATGGACTTAAAACTTCTGAATATACAAATGATATATCCAACAACAACAACAAAGCCTTAATCCCACTAAAAAATTGAGATGGACTTAAAACTTCTGAATATACAAATGATATATCCAACAGCCTTAATACAAATGATATAAAGTGAAGAAAAAATTTTCCTTTGAGGAGACTTAAATGGATATGTTGATAGTAGCAGAAGATTTTAGAAATACTCATTATAACTACGGTTTTAAAGTAATTAATGAATAGGTATAGCCATATTAGATTTTGTTTTAGAATATGTTTTTATTATTGCTAATATTTTAGTTAAGAAAAGAGATTAGAACATTATTACTCATAAGCATGGATCTAATAAAACACATTGATTATTTTCATATGAGAAAAGAGATATCGCCAAGATGTAAAGATTACATGGTCATTCTAAGTAAAAATTTAAGTACTAACATCGATTAGTTCTGAATTTTAAGATGATGGATTGGAAAATAAAAAATACAATGAAACATTATCATAGAATTAGATAGAGACACCTAAAAGATAACAAAATATTTTTACAAGTAAACTTTAAGATTTTAATATTTAGCATGTTCATGAAGAAAGCAAAATCTATGTAAGCTAAAATAACAAGCACTATTAAATAAATAACAAAAGATATACTTGGAGAATCAAAAAGAAATATTTTTATAAATAAACATAGTTAGTAATGAAATAATAATGTACAAGAAAAGATAAAATAAAATAAATATTGTTATAAAAGTTAGTTTAAATGTCCAACCTTAAAGAACTGGAAAAAACATAAGGTGACCCGTAAGGAGTTCAAGAAAACAATTTGTGGTGTTAAGAATTCTGCTTTTAGTGATCTTTTTAATTGATTAGATACAAAATATAGAAAAAAACGTATGTATAAACTAGTTAAACTAAGAAAAATAAAAACAAAGATTTAAGTCAAGTAAAGTGTATTAAAGATGAAATAAAAAATTATTTTTCTTAAAAGACGATATTCAACATAGGACGTGAGATATTTTGATAAACCTTTCAATGAAATTTCTAAAAATAAAATCAATTTTAGTGATCTTAATATCGATAACAATAATAAAACTTCTTAATTTCACAGTCACATTAGTAAAAAAAAGTTGAAGAAAACCAAAGAGCGAAAAATCAATAAGACTTGATGATAACTCAATTGAAATGTGGAAATTATTAGGAGATTTGAGAGTTTCATGGCTTACTAAACTCTTTAATAATATTTTCAAACTAAAAAGATGCCTGAAAAAGTGAAGGAAGAGTATTTTGGTTCCTATTTTTAAGAATAAAAAGGATGCACAAGGGTGTGCAAATTATAGGGGAAATAAATTAATGTGTCATACATTAAAATTATGGGAAACATAGGTTAAGACGTGATACAAAGACTTCTCATAATCAAATTGAGGTTTGATGGAGAAATATAAAGAGAGTAAGGAGGATTTACATATAATTTGTATTGACTTAGAAAAAAATTACGATAAGATTCTAAGAGAAGTTCTTCAAAAAGCTCTAGAAATAAGAAGTATTGATATGACTAATACATGACTAAAACTCAAGTCGTTAAGGATATGTATACTGGAGCTGTTACTAGTAATCAAACAGAAGGAGGATTGATTCAGTTGGATTACATCAGAGATCGGCATTAAGCACATGTCTTTTTGCTTTAGTTATTGATGCTCTTACTAAACATTTACAAGAGAATGTACCTTAGTGTGTGCTTTTCACTGATGATATTCTTCTTGTGGATAAAACTAGAGAAAGAGTTCAAGAAAAATTTGAACTATAATGTCTATATTAGAGTCTCAAGGCCTTCATTTGAGTAGATCTAAAACTGAATACATGAAATATAATTTTAGAAGTAGAAGAACTAATGGCGGAGTTGTAACTATAAGTGATCAAAACATTAAAAGTTTGGAACATTTTAAATCTCGGGTCTATTGTTCAAATTGATGGTGATATAAAAGGGGCTGTTATTCGTAGAATTCAAGTTGGTTGGTTGAAGTGGAGGAATGCATCAGGACTATTGTGAGATAAAAAAAATATTGCTTAGATTTAAAGGACAATTTTATAACATGGTTGTGAGACCTGCAATGCTTTATGGCACAAAATGTTGGGCTTTAAAAAAGAAGCATTTAAAAAAGTGGGCTTTAAAAAAGAAGCATAAAATTAAGTTAAGTGTTGATGAGATGAGAATGCTTCGATGGATGAGTAATTTGATACTTGGAGACAAAGTGTAAAACAAATGTATCCAGTTAAGGTTGGTGTAGCTCCAGTGGTAGACAAGATTATTGAGAGTTGTCTTAGATGATTTGGTCACCTTAAACATCGTCCATCTGATGATCCAATTAGGAAAGTAAATATTTTAGACTCGAGACATAAAAAGACTTGGGCATATTGTATAAAAAAAGATCTTAATTTATTAGAATTAAATTAAATGAAAATATGACACTCACAATGGAGAAAAATGATTCATGTAGCCGACCCCACTTAGTGAGATAAAGACTTGTTGGATATTTAACAACTCTGTATATGTTTTATGAATTAATTATATAATTACAATGTCATAGACAAGAATGAATATTTACTTTAAATGGATTTTGTATGTTTGTAATTGTGTGAGGCCAATCTACCAAATATTTAATTTTGTGTAGATTAGCACGAGCATTGGTGAGAATTATGTCTAAGTTACCCACCTCTGTTTGACCATATGGGGGAGGATCAGCTGTGATCTGGGATAAAGGCTTGTTGTTGGATATTTAACAACACTGCATATGTTTTATGAATTAATTATATAATTACAATGTTATAGACATGAATGAACATTAACTTTAAATGGATTATGTGCGTTTGTAAAAACTGTGTTAGGCCAATCTACCAGATATTTAATTTCATGCAAATTAGCACGAGCATTGGTGGGAATTATGTCCGACTAAGTTACCCACCTCTGCTTGACTTTATGGGGGAAGGATCAGCTGTGATGTGTCATTCTGACTAAGAATTGAGTTTTATGTGAAAAGTAAATGATGACTTGGTTCTGTAAAAAATGTTTATTAAAAAAAAATAAATTATATAAAGGTCAAGTAAAAATAACAAATCATTGAGTTTTTAATGAACAAATTGATACCAAAGTTAACCCAAATAATAATAAGAAAAGAAGACATTATTATTGAACAACAAATATGGACTAACAAACAGCCAACTGAAATTGGAAATAAAACCAATCATGACACCATAAATCGGAAGTAACAACTAACATGACACAAACACTCAACTAGAGCGCATTCTGATATGGTAGTGGTCGTCGGTGAGGGTTTGAAAGGTGGCTCGGGGTTGGAAAAGGCGGTTGACAAGGAAACAACAACAAGGTATCAATTTCTCCATGGCAGGACAATAAGTAGACAGCCGGGGGACGATGCATGAGGATTGTCCGAGTAGATGGCAACAAGGGGGAAGGACGAAAACAACGATGGTGGCTACAACGAGGAGGCGACTACAAGATGGTCGGCTGCTGGCCAGTGGGTGGGGGAGGATGTGAGCAAGGCTGGGAAAGGGAGGTAGTCGATTAAGAGGGTTGTGCGGGCTAGGGGAGGATGGCAACAAGGTTGGGGGTTGGCTGGAGGCAATAGCAGGGAGGATGGAGGGACAAAATGACAATTGGGAGGGAGGGGTGGATGGGGGGGGGGTTGTGAGAGAGCAATAGGACAACTACAAAAAGATTGTTTTCGGTTGTCGGGGTGGCTTGCAACAAGGAGGAATGCGAGGTAGTGATAGGGAAG